AACACCAAACCAACCCTTCACACAATCCAATCTCCAGCCCAAGGCAAAACACCAGCTCAACATGGATGCAATTTCATAACCACAAGTTCCGCAGAGCTCGTCTCAAGTCCACTTAAACCGTCAACCCCCCCAAAACCACAAATTCAAAGGGGGAAAAGGATCATTGGGGGAAAAAGCGAAGGGAAACGAATTGATTACGGAAAGATCCATTCAGAGCTTCAAAAATCAAGAATCGGGGAGGAAAGTCTCGAGTCTCGAGAGGTAGGGCAGAGAATTACCAAAGAGAAAACGGAAAACAGAAATAGGAATAGGAATCCTCAAAAGTTGTCAGTGAGGAGATAATAATCTCATGGATTCGGAAACTAGAAGCGATCGATTGCTCAGACGATCGAAGCTCGATCTAGGGCAGCTTCAGCACCAGCGAGCAAGAAAGGAAAAACGCGACTGAAATTCAAAGGGCTATATATAAACAAATGGGTGCTTACATGGAGCCCACGTGGATGAACGGACTTCGCCTAATGAACAGTTTTTATTTTATTTTTATTTCTTTAGAAACAAAAATACTTTTTTCCACTAAAAAGAATAAATAAAGATTCACCGGCGATTTTTGAGCGAGTATTTAAAGTCGGCGTCCAAATGTAGGGTTCCAGAATGCGGCGTTTCATCGAACGCGCTGACGTGGTGGTTGTTAGGGACGCGCGCCCAGCCCAGTAAGAGTGCTACTCTGACTCTGCTACTACCAAAAAATTACCCTACTCTTCGTGTTGATCGCCGTTAAAAAATTTAACGGCTATTTGATTTTTTCTAAAAGAGAAGTTTTTTTTTTTACTTGCCAAAATAGTTGTTGAAGTATTATTTCCAGAGATTGTTGTTTTTGGATCTTAATTGTTAACTATGGAGTAAAACACCCCACCACATGATTAAAGTCGAGCCCACATACATCAGGTATGCTCATCCATGTGAGCACCACCATTCGAGATCGAGGGATCCTAATCAAACATCTTGGGTTCACAAGACGATCGACAACCCACCTTGGTTCAACGAAACAATGGGATCGTGAGGCTTGTAAATCACACCCCTCTAGATATCTTATCGGAACTCCATTTGAGAACAAACATGCAACGTAATCCTAATTCAGCTGGACCACTTTTCAATCTGAAATGTTGAGTTAGTCACCCCCTTCAAACTATCTAAAATGTTGAGTTAGTCACCCCTCAAAATTGACATCAACAAGGTCGCTTATTTTAGAATCACACAACAATACTGCCTTGGACCGACTTGTCGATTCACCTTAGTGTTCCCAAATATTAACAACTATATTATATTTTTTTAGTTTAATTGGTAAGATAATTTCTCATATTGTTTAATTTTATTTTTTTAAGTTCAACAAATATAGATGTGGAGATCCAAATATTTAACTTTAGAAAAGATAATAACTACTTAAAAAATTAAGTTAGATTCAAATTAACTCACGATATATGAATTTGATTGAAATGATCAAATTTGTTCAATGTGTCAATAATTCAAGATTTAACTTAATATAACAGTAGTATATGTTTAATATTACCAAACTCATATAGTCGTTATATATCAACTTCAAAGCCAATACTTTATGCTAAAACTTAACCAAAAAGAAAAGGGAAAATTAAAGAAGAAATTGAATATTGTCTTATTTCAAAAATGAAGAAATTTTGAATATTCTCCATTCATCTAAAATCAATCGACATTTTTCAAAACCAACATTGTTTTCTTTCACCATATACCACAATTATTAGGATGAAAAAAAAAAAAATCCACACACAATTCCGGTAAGTAGGTATGAATGCATAAAAAAGCTTGAAGAAAATATAATAAATAGTTGTGAAATTTTTATAGCTAGACAGTTAAAATATTATTCAAGTTCACATCTTTAAAATAGTATAAATACTAGACGACAAGAATGATTAGTGCTTAGCTCATCCTATTCAAGAGTCCCAACACGTGATCTACTATCAATTTGGGATAAAATGTATACACTAATCGTTTGACAATTAAGAGAAATAAATTAAAAAAACTGTTCGGGACATAAAATAGTTTCAAGAAACACTTCGATTTCAGAATGACCATTCTTGACCACATGAAAAATTTCAAGGACAGCCATGGTTTCTCTAGCCTACAAGCCTCAGTAAAAAAATTACGAAAGCTTCCTGTTCATACAGAAAGAAGATTTCTGTTTTCGACTGTTCTATATATACCTTTACTATATCAAAGATGGGGAATGCACCTGAAAGTGGACTGAAAAAAACTGTGCCACTTCTTGGCATTGCCCTGTTTATTTGGTGCTCTCTTACAATATTCACAACTGAATAAGCCTTCAACTGCAACTGGTAACTTAACCTCGTTTCTTTCGCAAGATGAGGAGGAGCATGTCACTTGATGTTCATGGCTTCTGACATTAAACGTAGCTCCTTTGCAACCTCTGAGAAGGGTGGTCTGGAATCTGGATCAGTGGACCAGCATTTCTGCATTAGTGATCTCCACGAAGGATCGCACCAGCTCGGAATTTCGGGTCTTAAGTCTCCTTGGATTAAGTCGGCTGAACATACAAGGGCAATGAGAAAACGGACCAGCAGAAGCGATTAAATGTTTCATTCAGGTTGTTTACTTTTGTAGTGTGTTAGGATGAGGAGTTCTACCTAAAATTTCCTCTGAACGCAAGTTTGAATAAGGTTCCTCTCCAGTCAAGAGCTCCCACATGACAATTCCAAATGAGTACACATCCACCTACATAAAAGAATCAGAAAAGAATTACATTTGAAAACTTTAGAAAGTAAATGGCATCAAATATCAAGACAAATTGTGATAAATGGACATCATTTTTACCTTTTCTGTTACGAGGTGGTTGTTATTACTACTATTCAACAGCTCTGGAGCCATCCAAGGAATGGTGCCTCTTACACTACCAGACACTAGAGTTCTCTGCTTAATTTTTGATAAGCCCAGATCACCAATCTAACAAGGTTTATAAAATTCAGAGTTCAATAAATCCAAATCAACATCTTATTTGAATTTATAAAATTTAGTGAAAGGATCATGAATCAACCAAGAGAACTACCTATGGATGGATCAAACCACTAAAATATCTTACCGTTTGTTACAATACCTTACAAATTGGCCGTTGAGGATCCCTCATATTCACAAGTAAGTTATGAGACTTTAAATCAAAGTGAACAATGTTCTTCTCATGTAGATACTCCATGCCAAAGGCTGCATCCATTGCTATGATGAGCCTCTTCCGACGATCAATAGTTCTACAAATGTTAAATACAGGTTTGGATTAATGTTTCACGTAACACTGCATTACAAGGAGGTACGAGTAAAGTTTCTCTGCCTAACTTCTAATTGAAAATTTTGTCACTTCAAGTTGGATCAATTATTTGGACAAAAAAAAAAAAAAAGACTATTCCGCATCCATTCACTTAGGTAGTATTCGTGATTTAACATTTTGGGTGTGACTTGTGAGGGAATCTATCTGAACTTGGAGTGAAATGATGATTTTAGCATTGGGAAGAAATGCTTGATTTTCCAATACCAGCATGGTATGAAACTTAGCTACAACTGGAATTGCTAAGAATCAGTATATTTTACAGTTATCAATGTAAGCTATCACTGAGACAATTTTTCATATGAATGGTAATTATTGGTAGCATCATGATATTTGTTTTTAGTGAAAAAGTAGACCCAAAAATATCATTTTTCTATCTTACCTTGACTTTCTACAGGACTTACCACCATTCAAGTAAAGAAGTCCAAGTGCAAAATTCAATTTTTTAAGCAATATAGCATCTAAATTCTATTAAGAAGCCTTTCAAAAACTTAGCTTACAAGAGTTCTGATGTAGGAACTATGTGTAAATATACATTAAGGAGTCTAAGATGTTTGTCAAAGTTGGAACATGCAAAGCATCCCCCCTGGTAAAAGGAAACTATGCTGCTTAACAATTTCCTCTTCTGCTCAATGGCCTAGTTAAAAAAAAATATATATACATGTATATATATCAAATTTCCAAGCAATTTACCTATCTTTTCGCTGCAAAACTTGTTTTAGGGAGCCATTCACCATATACTCGGTAACTGTAGCCAAATTTGTTGCAGGACCGTCTGAAACAATTCCATAAAGTGCCACTATATTTGGGTGGTGAAGCTGACCTAGAATGTACGCTTCCTTCCAAAAATCTGCAATCTGAACAGAAACAATGAATAGAAGTATTAAGTCAGCCAAGCAAGAGTGTATGTTTTATCTCTTTATTTCTGCCATGTAAAATCTCCGTGCTAAGGGCTTTTTTAACATCAAAGTCATTTACCAATATAATCCCATCAACATCTTCCTTCGTATTTCAATAAAAATAAAAATAATAACACCAGGATGGATACTACGTGCCGGATCTTACTTCAATGCTAACCTAGAGATTGCATGACAACATGATAAATATCGCCCAAAAAATGTGAGCCAAGAGGATGGGTCAAAGGTTGCCCTATCGTTTAATATCTACAAAAGTGAACTTCCAAGAAGATGCAAGTGTCAGTACTAAAAACAACTTAGAGATTAGGCTTGAGCAACATATACCTTGAGAGAATACCACTTATACGAGAAAGCAAATACTTTCTGAGCAAAAAGAGTAACTAAGTAGAACATTGGAACCAACTGATAAAAGATAACTCTAATCATATCGGCAGTAAAACAGAAAATATGCAAGCTTAATGGCTGAGATATAAAGCTACCAATCGCTGCTCCTCCAACAAACTATCATTGAGGCAACTGTGCTTAATCTTCTTGATGGCAACATCAGAACCCTTCCATTTTCCATAGAAAACAGCTCCATATGTACCAGAGCCAATTTCTTTTATGTATTCCAGGTCAGAACTATATATAGTCTGCAAAGGATGGGGGGGGGGGGGTCATTTCTATTATAATGTGCAGTTAAAAAATACATGAAACATTTTTGCGTTCAAATATACCTGTAGCTCTCGAGTAACTAGATGGGTGCAAAATGCTATGAGATCTGAAGAAATCCCAGCAATGACCTTAGAACATTTCTTGCTTTCTCTAGCCTCCGCCTAATATCAAACTCAAAGGTCAGTCAAGAGTATGAATAGTTAAACTTGCATACTAACACAAAGAAGACCTTATTTACCTTTCTCATTCGGATTGTTGTCTTATAAATTTGTGCAATAATAGGAAGAGTGTTCAGATCATTACCTTTTTAACAAAGTATAGAGTAGACTTGGGATCTTGTGTAGTCTCCAATTTAATTTTTTGTAGTTCTACATTCTGCATCAATCTCATTGAGGTATATGCACTCAATCTGTCACCTTGTGGGTCACATGCTTTTTCTTCATCCATGAGAAGTCTACAATTTGGTTGAAGTTTTTGCAAGGGTTCAGAAAGAACTGCAGAAGCACAAGATGAGAATTCAGGAGGTGGTTCAATCTTCGAATTGTTACAGGAGCCAGCAGATGCTTCCTCGTCTGGAAGCTTACTATTGCTGACGAATCCTGCTTTGTTGCCCCAACAATGAATAACTCCGTTCGTTTGTGGGTTTACTGAGAAATGCTCCATCTGTAGCTCGCAGTGGCTAGGCTCCCCATATTTATCAAACTTGTGAAAGTTTCCACTTAAACATGGAACTTCACGACCATGACTCTTGGCCTCATTCAATAAATCTCCTTGATTCTCCATTGCTTTCAAGCATGGTAATGGAGGCAGAACAGAAACATAAGACTCAAAACTTTGTTGACCTACATCCACACATTTGTCATAATAAGGTAAACAAAATTCATTAGGATTTAAATTTTTATTTTGAGAATCTCCGGGGCTGACAGGTTTTCTAAATTCCATATGACCAGTCTGCACATTAAACAAGGTTTTGTCTTCGTTTAACTTTAAACTAGGATCCAATATTCTCACGGTTACTTGAGATGATTGCTCCAGACAACTGGTCTCCTGCCCCCATGTGTTAGGATCGTTTGATTTTATAGATAGTCCCTGGTTTGACATGTCAGAAACTGGCTGGAGCCCATAATTACATTTCGCAATCGAAACATTCTCATTCATTGCAGGAGCTTTATGGTTCTCCATCTGCGTCTTGTTGTTGTGGCCGTTTGGATAAATTTTCTGATGTTTGGCATCATTTACACGATGGTCATGGCTGCCACTTCGCCCATCAAACAATGTTCTGTTACTACTAGAAGAAGATTTCGTATTACAAACATCTATTGCCAAACCAGCAGTCTTTGCTGAGTCATAATTGGGTGTCCATGGCACGCTGTTCTCCCCTTTCAAACCTTTTACAGATGCCTGTGCATTGCTCCTCAAGTCCTGTTTCACATCAAATCCAGGATGTGGAGAAATTTTACCAGAGTTCTTAAGTTGTCTAGAAATCCCCATGTTGGGGCTTGTTCCGGCACACGGAGCCACACTTTTAGGCTGCATCGACAAGCAGTGAGTATAATTTTTCGTTCCCACTCGTAAATTCCCATCCCTCGGATTCAATGGATGGGCGCGACTAGCCGGAGTCTTAGCCCAATTACTATAGGTTTCACCTCCCCCCAATTGAACTTTCCCCAAATTGTTATATGAACCGCCATGAAATCGATTGTTATAACTCTGGTTCCCAACATTCTCCCTGATTGGAACATGGGCTCCGGGACTCATATCGATTAGCGGATGAACGTAATTCGGTCTTCCTCCAGGTCTTGTATCGGTTTCGGTGCGATTGCAAGCACTACTTACAAGAGCCGATTGTTTTATCCGCGATTGGCGCTTGAACGCTAATTTTCCAGGTAAATCATTGTCAAATCGCGCTTCAGCAGTCTTAACAGTCGTCGGTAAATTCACAGCCACCTCCAGAAACCCAAACGAAGAGATTGGTGAGCGTTGGTTCGGCAATCCATTACCACCATATACAGTCTCATGCAATCTAGCCGCAGAGGAACCATCACGTTCCCCACGAGGAGCGAATGCAGCATTCTGCCTTCTAAACTCGCAGTTCATACTACTTTTGGTACAAACAAAAACACGGAGCCTCGCGCGATCGTCGTACCGCACGAACTTATCGTATTCGTCGATCATGCATCGGAAGTCGTCTTCGGAGTCGATCAGGACCAGAGGTCTTTCATCAGAATCGGAACGGGAGGACTCCGAATCGTGGTATTGATACCGGAGGGAAAAGGAGGATGCATTAGGGCAGAGATCCGAAACCTTGGACCGAAGCTTAGAGAAGCCGGCGTTGCGATCCAGGGAAACGATACGCGTCTCGCCGCCGACGTAGCGGACGTTGCCGGTGGGCGGATGAAGGCGGAATGCGCCATTGAAGCTGATCAGAAGTTTGAGCTTCTTGGATTGGTTAGCGGCGGAGGTGGAGGGCCTTCTGCGACGGGAAAGCGGAGGTTCTTTCATGGCAGTGAGAGAGAGATCTGATGATGAGAGATGGCAGTTTCAGAATCCGCTTTTATAGTTCTTCATCCACTGTGGAGTCCACTTCAAATTTTGCCATTCTTATATCTCGCATTCCAATTTTTCTGGGAGAGTTTTCATAAATATCCCTTTATATTGTCTTCTTGTCAAAACTATCCCTTAAATATGACTATTGTTAAAAGTGACCCTATATTATCAAAATCAACAGCAACATATAACTCAGCGTAAATGTAATCTAATCCTTTCAAAGTTGGAAAGTATTTTCAATATAACAATTTGAATTTTTTATGTGTGGTGATGTGATTTCTCATCAATCACGTATTGCTATTTGATAGTTCAATAACAATTAATCAACATAATAAATCAATAGAGGAAAAAACAACATTTCGGACCTCTCTAAAGATCAAATTGAACTATCCATGATGAGTCGCATATCTTATTACTAGTCGATTATCTAGGCTATCGAAGAGCCGTTGAAGCACTAACGGAGATCTTGTCAAAAGCTCACCACTCTAAATAGAATGTTTGTCTCATTTTTAGGTACGCGAAACTATACTCTCTCGAGCATATATTGGATGGACACTAACTTGAGTGTCATAGCTCTTACTCCATTTTGCAGATCCCTTGCTTCTCAGCTCGTCTGATAGTCAACTCATCCGTCCAAACTTTGCGACCATGATCATTTTTCAGATCAAAGATGTGTGTGTGTTTTTTTTAATAATTGTTGTATTGTTTTCATGTTCATATAGATGGTCAAATTCCATACCCATCGACTTTTTTAAATTATACTAAATTTTTGTTATTAAATATTCATCAATTTTATTATTATGTAGCTAACCTAAACTTTAATTAGTACCTGTTTTTACTAAGAGATTCTGAGTTCGAATCCTCTCATCTCACTTAATTGTTGATAAATTAATAGGGTAGAAAACAAAGATAAAGATTTTAAGTTTACCTACAAAATTTTCTAATTCAAAAATTGAAAATGAAAAATCAAACCTGAAATTTAAAGTTTTTTTTTTTAAATCTACACAAAAGTTTTCTTTTTTAAATCATATGGAGCAGGTTTCAAAATTTACTAAAATGCATCAAAGAATTAATTATTTTTAAATAGAATTTAAAATGTTTAATTTAGAATCTCTAAACTAATGAAAGGAATATAATGTAAATGTAAAAATTTTAAATATTTACCAAAAAGGTATAATCTTTTGACATTTACACAAATAGCATGAAATAAAAATACATTTTTAATTATAGAAAAAGTTTAAAATTTTTAGAAAATAACATAATTAAAATCTAATTCAAACTTCTGTAAAAATAAAAATAATAATAATAAAAATAAAAATTAACAAAATTAAAAAAAAATTGATTTAAAAAAAAAGGGATTAAATAAATATTAATGCGTAAAGAAATGTGTTGCGAAGAAGAGGGCAGAAGAGGTGATTTTCAGGCGAAACGACCGGGAAAGTTGAACTGACCTTTGAGAGGAAGCAGGGAAAAAACAAGCAGCTCTTACAATGGCGGAATTCTAACAAAACCATCAAAGTTTGTTGGATTGTAATTCCATTCCAATGGCGAAGAACCAGAGTCACCGTCTCACTTACTTCACTCATCTCTCAAAATGCCTATTTTTTTCTCTCCATTTCCGAATCTCCGCCTCATGCGCCGCTGATTCCCCCTCTGTTTTTCTCTGAATCTGTAAATCCGTCTTAATCCCTCCACCTCGTCCAGATTTCCGGCCAATGGCGAAGGTTACGGCAGCGCCTTCTTCTCGAAGGCTGCCCTAAATCCTCAACAATATCTCTGTACTGTATTGTTGATCTCAATGAGTTAGAGTTTTTCCTGTTTATATCGATAGATTTACGATTTGTCAGTGGCCGGAACAACACTGAAGCATGAAGTTCCCAAATGGCAGGTTTTGCTTCAATCCAGAGGATGATGGTTGCACTACAAAGAAAATGCAAGTAAAATCCATCATCTGTAAGAATAAGTAAACATTGGCATTGATTCCAAGATCAAAAGAGATCTATCTCAGGCAAATACCAAGAAAATGTACTTGGTGTTTGCTAATTGTCTTTCTTATGTGAATTATTCACCAATAGTCGTTACATGAGCAAGAACCATCTTTGAAGTGATGAAAACGATTTCTATCTCTAGCAATAATCTCCCTATTGAATATCTTGGATATTAGCTTTGTGGCAGAATGACAATTACGGCAGACGCGAAGATTCTTAATGATTGTAATTGTTGTTCCTGGTTTTGTACTAATCAATCCATAAGCAATTGCTAATTTCTCACTATGGTGACTTAGAGCTCCTTCTTTCCACTCTTCATCCATGTCATAGAGTACCTCGGATGTATCTGGCACAAATCCAGTCACCTTTAGTTGTCTATCTACTTCTTCTAGCATCTTGTAAATATCTTCACTTTGTGGGTGAACCTTGTCCCCGACTAGAAACTCGTGAACGACGTTGTCGACTTCAATGGTGGTACAACCAGGGACTTTCTTCATTCCCCTGTCATTCAGCCTTGTTCTTATTCTTGCAACATCATCCCATTTACCAGCTCCTGCATATATGTTAGATAAAAGCACATAAGCTCCAGGGTTATCTGGCTCCAATTCGAATAAACGTTCGGCAACTGATTCTCCCAACTCGACTCGTCCATGGTCTCTACAGGCCCCAAGAAGGGAACCCCAAATAGCTCCATCTGGTTTCATCTCCATATTCTGTATCAAGGACTCTGCTTCCTCAAACAACCCAGCTCGCCCGAGTAGATCTATCATGCATCCATAATGTTGGAATTTCGGTGCAATCTTATAATCCTGAACCATAGAGCTAAAAAATTGGCGTCCAAGATCTACCAAGCCAGCATGTTTGCAAGCAGATAAGACACCGACAAAGGTTATCTCATTTGGTTCAATTCTATCACTGTACATTTTTGAGAAAAGCTCTAGAGCGTCCTCTGCTTGTCCATGCATTGCTAACCCACATATCATAGCATTCCAAGAGGCCAAGCTTTTGGTTTTCATACCATCGAAAACCTGTCGCGCCGCGTCTATATTACCACATTTAGCATACATATCTATCAGACTCGTCCAAAGAGAGGTACTGGCTGAATTGAAGTTTTTGTTTATATAAGCATGTATCCACATACCAAGGTCAATGGCACCTAAATGAGCACAGGACGGAAGAATGTTAAGGAAGGTTATGTCAGTGGGCTCAATGCCCGAGGCTAGCATCTGGCGGAAGAGCGCCAAGGCTTCTTTATAGTTGCATATATGAGTGTAACCACCGATCATAACATTCCATGAGATCACATCCCTTTCAGGCATTTCATCAAAAAATTCACGGGCAGTCAGAAGATCACCGCACTTCGAGTACATGTCAATAAGTGCATTAACAAGCTTGAGATTTGAACGAAGCCCGCGATCTTCAATCCAAGAGCGCATCAAGTTTCCTAAATCTAGAGCATTGGACTGAGCGCAAGCAGAAAGGACCGAGACAATAGTACTCTCATTCGGGGCGACATTTGCTTCCCTCATTTCCTCAAACAACAACAACGCCTCTTTCGATCGACCAGTTTGTGCGTAGCCAGCAATCATTGCATTCCAAGACACCACATCTCTCACAGGCATTTCATCAAACATTTGCCGAGCGCGATCCATATAACCCCACAAAGCATAACCAGATATTAGAGCAGTGAAAGAAATCGCATCCCTGAAGTTACTTTTATCAAACACCAATTGCGCACTATTCATTTCACCGCTCTGCGCATACATATTGATAAGCGAAGTATGAATATACACATCAGAAACAAACCCAAGCTTCAGAACATGCGCATGAATCTGTTTCCCTTCACGGGCAGAGGTGAGCTTCGCGCAAGACTTCAAAAGAAAAGGAAAAGTATAAGAATTCGGCTGTACCCCAGAACAAATCATCCTGACAAAGAAAACCAAGGCCAGAATCGGCGACAGACTCATCGAAAGCCCTCGAATCATGGAATTCCAAATGAACAAATTGGGGTCTGCAATGGAATTAAAGAGGGAGACGGCATAGGAGATGTCGCCGGAGCGTGAAACGGCGGAGAACTCGATGAGCTTGCTGAGGGCGAACTGGGTGTTGTGGAGACCGGTCTTGATGATCTGAGCGTGGATTTGTTTCAGAGTTGGAATGTTTTGGCATTTGGAGAGGAGCCTGAGAGATGGGTGGTCTTGGAGGAGCCTGTAAGGCGGATCGGAAGAGGCGGAGGCGGGTGAAAATATCAGTGAAGGTGCAGAAAGCGCCATTTCTGGGCGGCGCTACGAAGCTCGTGGTGGCGACTGCGGATTAGAGATAAGGGTCCGTTAACATTTGAAATATAGTTTGTACGGACGCCACCCGCCAAAAAAAATTTAAAAAGCCTGCTAAAGTAATAAAATAAATATTCGAATTAAGAAAAAATACAAAAAAACGATATAATATATAAATATATCTTGATTTTTTAAATTATGAATTTAGTCTCGAACTTTCACAATTATGTGTATTTAGTTTTTGTAATATAATGAGTCTCATCTCAAATCTTCAAATTTTTTTTGTAGCTTTGGTCATAGTCACTTATTTAAGATATTAAATTGATAAAGTTAGCGACATAGTCCTATTAGACGTAAAATTTAATTAAAAGTACATTGATTCACTTTTAAAGCACAAATAAAAAAGATAAACTCAACTTTTAAACTTCATGAATTAAACTTATAATTTTTATTTAGGTTCTATACTTCTAAAAGTTTTGTTCTCATATTTATCTTTTACTTGAGTTTAGCTGAATTGTTTACATGAATCTCCACCAACCATGTTGTTTATCTAAAAAAGAGTGTATCTAATGTTAAATAAAAATGACATAAATTCAATAAACTTTCTGATCCAAGAATATTATCATGCATCTAAATCACATATTTAATTTGCAAACAAAATAAATTAAGTCGTTGGAGGGGAATTTTTACCTCACATGGGGCACATTTGATTTGAAGAGAACTACACGTGTGGTCTTGAGTCCATGAGGCCAAGTTTCATCACCTCAGTCTTAAAGTTTATTACCTAGTCAACGCTCCACGCGGCTGAGCCGACCAAGTCTTCTTTGGGTCTTGTTCCCATTCTTCAGTCAAATCGACTTGGAACTGTCTTGCTCAACCTCATTCTTCGACACATCTCACGACAGCACACCGCATTTCATAGTTACCCTAAAGAGCAGTTGAGGTTTTGTCTGGAGTCCTGTCAAAGACATCTCTTATAAATAGAGACTGTTCGCCTCTCTCCCAGGTACGTGAACACTGTATTTTCTCTCGAATATGCTTTCTAACTTGGACGTCGGATTATCTTCTGTTTTGCAAGTTCCATGTTCGGAGTACTTTCAGCTCGTCCTTCAGGTCGTCTTCTAATCCGAGCCAAGATTTGCAAGCTTTAGTCATTTTCGTGATCAAGCATAAGTTCTTCTAATCCAATTAAAATAGGGGCTATTCCTTTCCTTGGGGCCACGAGAAGTATCCAATGGAAGAGCCATTGGATAGAAGGTATCATTAATATGATAATTGAAAGTCATTTTCTTAGTTTTCATGGAAGAGTATCTAAATAAAAATAAGTTTCGAGAAATTTAGTGGCGTGCAATATATTATTCAACAACTAACAAATATATCACATTTCTTTTTCCAAAAAATAAAATATAATAATAATCCCATTTAATTAAAAGAAATTAAATTATATACACAGGAAACAATTGCCACATATTTGTAAATTTATTACACAAAAAAACATGTTTCTCGTATATACTGATAGACTATTTTAGTATCACAGATAAATTATCACTCACTTATACACCTATTATAAAATATATCACGAACTTATCCTTAATAGGATAACGTATATTACTGATACATTAAAGTATATTACTGGTATATTATTGATAAAGTATATTATTGATGTGTTTATACTTAATATAAATTACGTCATGAATATACATGTTTTTACATATATGCTATTTTTATAAATTATTTTATCATGTAACAAATTTTCTATTATAAAAAAAATCCCTAATTTAAATTAAGGAACTTGGTTATTCTTTGTTCCTTGGGTCTCTTAATGATCATTTCATTTTTGGTAGATCTAAATTTAATCAATTTGATTATTATTAAGTAAAATTTTCCCAATTAGAACTTGAGGGGGAACAAAAGTTTTCCAAGAGGCGAAATTAAACAAATTGCTGCATGCATGTTATTATATAAATTATTATTTGTTGACCAAGAGAGAAATGATTTTGACATACAATGAATTTCATTTTCATCTCATTTTCCTCTATTTCTTTTTTATTTTTTTTTAAAAAGGTTTCATTAGCTACCACTTTACAAAGCTGCAAATTGGATTGTGGAAAGTTTGAAAGAAAATATCCTCAATTCCTATATGAAAAGAATCACAATAATTTTCCCTATGCATATCCTTCTTAAAAAAAAGGTGTAAAGTGACTCGAAGGAAGCCATTATTGGCCCATTTATTGCACATGCATCTTCTAATATTATATATATAAACTTCTCTATCTATTGTAAAAAGTTTATCTAGAGTTAACACGAGTTTAGATTAACGATAATCGTCACCTGTCTCTGGCCATAATAAAGTTTCTTGAGTTTTTGATTTGATTTATTTCTATTCGATAAAGAAAAATATAGGTAAGGATTGTTATAAAGTTACTTAAATATGCCCCAATTCATAAATTATTCCAAAACAAGCTAGTCTGAGTGAGACTGACTCCTCAATAAAATAGATCATGGTCTTTATATTAATTCAACTATGCACCTCAAACCTAAGCAAGAGTGACTCCTCATTAAAAAAACACACAGATATATTGGATAATCAAAACTACTGATATATTAAATTTAGTCATTGAACATATAACTTAAAAAAGGTAATTAATGTTTTATCTACTCAACTATGTTTGGATTGACAATTAAGGACGACTTACTTCAATCTTTACTAACAATCCGAAAAAGAAAAATATAGATAGGATAAAATTAGGGTTAATGTTTGGATTTTTCAAGATATGAAAGCCAACAAGAAATGGAGAGAGAAATGTAAAGGGGGAATATTCAAATTCAGCACACAATAAAAAGTGATGGCCAATTCAATTTTACCTTTCCTTTGAAGTGTTGGGATGAGGATTCTCCAAGTATTATTAAAGGGGGTTGCCTTTTCTTTTGAGAACACTCAATAACTTTTCTTTCTTTTTTTTCCAAAAGAAAAAGAAAATGGAGAGAATAAAGAGTTTTGGGAATGAAAGAGCATTTGCATTTGTCTAAGGTTTTCATGTTTCATTGGAATATTCACCATGTCTGGTTAATTATATTTTGGCCCTCTCCTTTTTTTATTCTTCCTTATCGAATGTAACTCACAATATAATCTTCCACTTGTGCTTACGTGGACCTCTATAGAGCCGCCATGTGGACCGCCCCTATTGTATTAATGCAGACATATCTTGTCAGATTATTTTTATATATATTCTATGCTATTTTTGGTATTTTTATGGCATATTATAGTTTATATCATCATACAGATTACTAACACCACAACAACCCAATTTAGAAATTTAGAAAATGAAACGAGAGAATATATCATAGTGTGGACATTCATTCCAATAGAGATTAACTCAGAATATGAAGGAGGAGATAGTTCAAAGATCAATAATGACCCACTAGAAATCGCGAGAGAGTAGTGGAGAGATTCTTTCATTTCATATGGTTGTAATTTCTGTTTAAGGAAACACAAAATTAAACAATATGAATCCAACAGTAGCGTCGTTTCCTTAAGATAATTTTGTTCCATTTATGGTGCTCAAGGTTTCACGAACCATTGTCTCCTAGGATGACGGATTTACCAACATGTGAATGCAACACTTCTCGCATAAAACTCAACAAAAATGGTGAAGAATTTTGAGGGAGGATTTTTTTCTTGGTATATTCAAAATGGAAAATGAATCTCATATATATATATCACTATTTGTGGCCATTCAAATATCTTTCCATCTAAGGTCATGTCTTCTGATAAAACCCCTTTGGGTTTTACAAAAGAGGCATCATTTGAGGAGTTGCGTTATTTTATATTAAAAATAATTTTATTCACAAATTCCAACAATTTCAACTTAATATGATTTGGTTCATTGTTTGATATGATTTGATATTATTTAGGATAATTTTGACATGATTTAGGTTTTCTAATAAGAAACCTTTTTCTTTTTTTTGAAATCGCTAATAAAAAACTTAAATTATGTCGGAATCTTAAATAATATTAAATCATATCTTAAATCATATCAAATCATAGAAACATCTCTGTTACACCTTTTGCAGGGATTTTTGATTTTATTTCTATGAAAGTATGTTTGTTACAATTGTTTATTCTTTAAGCCTATTTGTATTTTGTGTGTTTAATGCTTCTAGATTTACTAGCTTTTCTATGGTCTACATATCTTAGATTTGCACTTCTTAAATTTATTTTGTAGTACAACATGTAGGAACGGGGATTCAAATTCACGATATTTTCGATCGAAGATTAGTTTAAAAGATGTTGAATTGAAATCTAAAATGTTCTAAACCTATCAATTGAGGGGTTTGAAAACTTTAGGAGAATTTTTTACACACTAATTCTTGAAACCTTCTCACTAGTTTTTTACTTTTAGTTAAATTTTCTAAAGAAAAATAAGATAAAATGCAAAAGTAAAGCTTCGATCTAATCTTAAAAAGACATCAACCCTATTTTCATTACTCATACTAAAATTTTATATCGCACATTTGTGGGTAATATATTTGCACAGATAATATTTTATTTTTCAATTATTATTTAAAAATTAAATTTTATTTCTCTAACAATTTTTTTTGTTTTGCAACATACTTTCCATTTTTTTTTATTATTTTTCTTTACCCGTGATTTACAATATAAAGAAATCACTAAAATGAGAAAACTTTGAATATTTTGTTTTTTAAAAAATGGCTTTCAAGCAAAACTTCTATATTGTCTTAAGAAAAGAGACTAGTAGAGATTATTACTAAATAGGTTTTTTATAATATTTTCTCATTTTTAAAATTAACAGTTAATTTTGGAAGTAGAAAATTGAAATAAATATATTACTACAAAACAACCTCATTCCAATAAATAAAATTAAGTAAAATTGTACCGACTCAGGCACAATTCAACTAATTAAAACATATATTATCGATAAAAAGAACTTCGAGTCTCTCCTAGATTCTGTCGGACTAAAAACAATTAAGCAAAATTGTATTAAATAATACATGCATTACCAATCGGTCATTTTTTTCTTTAAAAAAATAATAATGTTTTTTTTGGCAGAAATAATAATAATAAGTTTTTAAATCATGCATTGTGATTAAATTATAAAAATAAAAATAAAAAAAGACAAGCGAGTACACAATTTAATAGTCTATTTATTTTATTCGAAAGAATTTGATTCTTTCTTGAATTATTTATTATTAATAGCTCCCATAATATATTCAATACAATGCACGCACACATGTAGCAAATAAATAAATAAATAATAAATAGATATTTTTGTTCTACTAAAAAATAAAGTAATATCTTCCTGAAAAGAAACAATAAAGTAATAAAATCACTTTTTTGATATATCTACAAYGTTCTCACGCTGCCCAGCGTCGGTTCGCCGCAATCCTAATTATTCCAATTTAATTATTTACTATTTTCAGCTTTTATTTAATTTTTGTATTTAATATGTTCTATTTCTAAGTTTCATACCGTTTTTACTATAATTTCTTTCTGGATAATGAAATAATATATCGTTTAAATTCTTAATATTCGAATATAAGTAAATTCATTTTTTTTTCGGGATGTTGGAGGTGATTTCTCACTAACCACGTGATAGTCCTTTGATACGATAAGGTTGATAAGTTTATATAGATGGACACATTACCTCAAACTTTACTTTCAAGGCCGAGCCGATCTGCTCCCCATTTCGGCCACCTTAACAATAGGTCAAACCAACCTTGTCTTTTACACATCGATAGTTTGACCTACTAGTCGAGCCGATCAAAAGACACTTTAGATCGTTTCTCCAACACATTCTACGATAGAGCGCTGTGATTTTCGGAACTTTAAAGAGTCGTTAGAAGCTTGTTAGATGCCCGTCAGAAACTCCGCCTATAAATAAAGACCTCCCAAATATAGATGTTAAGAGTGTTTTGTGAATTTTTGCTTTTAAGAAAACAAAAACAAATAAATAGTTCTTAAAATTGATATATCATCAATATCAATCTAGAATATTCCAAATTTGCAATAAAATGACGTAATATATCATGACAATAGTTATCATATATTGGTCCTAAGGTTTCTTTTTCATTACATTTAAGCAATATTTCTCATATTAAAAACCCTTAAACCAAAATTCTCTATAGTAAACAAATTATTGTTAGAAAATTAAAAACACGGTTTAATTCAAGTTTGGTATACTTTTATCTTTTCATATCCAATATTATATTTTAGTCCCTCAATTATTCATAAATAACTATTATAGTTCTCACCGATGCCTTGTTAGCAAGACAAATATATCATGAAAGATGTTTTTATGTCAAACCATCTATTAGAAATTAAAATTTTACGTAAATTATCACAATGTGATAGGACAAATAGACATACTAGACAGACATGTAGTTTAGAGATGTAATCGAAACTTTAGTTAGAGTTTAAAGAGTAGATAGAAAAGAGGGTCGGGACTCGGGAGGATCGAGGAGGAGTCAAATCAAAGTAGAATTTGGAGGTGAATTTGCATATGCATGATTATAAATTAAGCAATGGGAGGGCCAGAAAGAAAGCAAATGAAATGGGGTGGTGAATCTGGGGAGTGCCCATCTTTTTGTTGAATTATTGAAGGAAAAGGAATTTGGAGGGGAGATGGATGTGCACTTAACAAGAATAGATTCCAATGGGGAAGAGGGTGGCCAAAATTATATAATAATCCTAATAATAATCCAACAAATTTTGAACTTTCTTTTTCCCTATTTTACCCCTTTTTGTAAAAGGGTTTTTGACCCACACCATAATGAAACTACATGGGGAAGGCTTATTTGGCCAACTTGAAGAAAACAAAGGCCACCCAACTTAAAAGGCATCTCACCTGCATCAGATATTTGCTTGCCTTTCTTTCATGGTCTGCAGCTAGCTAGCTACCACTTCCTACGTTTCAAACCGGAACTTTAAACATAATTTAACGAGTTCTTATCGACTTTTGGATTTGGTTTATTTTCAGTGGTTCAAAAATATTAATAAAATTCACTTATCTATCAAATAAGAATAGATCATTACACTGCCCTAAAATTAAAATGTATGTATATATATCTCAATAGAAGCTCTTACTTACCAATATGTAGGCAGAATTGTTCTATTTATAATTGGTTTTTAATCTATATTAGGCATTAAACTTTGATCGGTTCTCAATCTCCTTTATTTTTCATGGTCTTTTGAATTTTAAAATCTCAATTTTAGTCCAACCATACATTTAGTTCCAAGGTACAAATTTTGTCTAATTTATTGAAAGTATGATGCATCCCATTTAATATCTACACGTCATATATATCCATTATTAGCAACAATATACCTTCATAATCATAATAGAAACTTAAAGAAATTCAAAGATCAGCCTCAAACGGTTTACAAAGCAAAATGGAATTTTGATGACTAAAAAAATGGAATAGATTTATCAGTGAGGAATTTTGAAATATGTGTCTAAGGGTATCTCAAGATACAAAATAAGGCATTAGTACAGAATGCAGACTTTTGAGAAAAATCTGTCACCCTCTAGACAAAAGTACAATGATTGGAATAATGAATTAAAATACTTATATATGATTGAACAAGATCTCTATCTCTCTCATTTTTTTTTTATTTTTTTTTGGGGTAACTCATGAAACACATGAAATGTACCTTTCTAAATAGATTTATGCTACTTAGAGAATTCAATCTACCAAGTGAAAGACATTTTCTATGTTAAGAATAAAAAAAGTAATGTGCAATTAGATTACCACCATCAATTTCACAACATGTGTCATAATACTATGTTCTTGGGAAATGTCGCCACCAAATAAAATTCAATAGTTATTAAAAACTATATAATATATATATTTTTTATTTTAGTATACGAAAAAAACATGTTAAAACTGTACTTTCAACTTTGATTTATCTTAATCCTTTATTTTCAAAATATTCACTTTGATCTATATATTGTTAACTCTACTTCATTTTAGTCCTTACACTTTCAAAACATTCGTTTTCTCCTTGCAAAGGGACCATTTTAGTTTTAATCTATAAAATTTTAATTCAAATTCTATACACAACAAAAATCCTTTGATATAAAGTTATAGCTACATTTCAAGAAATATGGTGAGTATAGTATAATATTGAATTGTGATTAGAAAAAAAAGATGGGACTAAAATGATTACTTATTAATAGTATAATGACCAGAACGAACGTTTCTAAAAACACAAAGACTAAAATAGATAAGAATTTAAATTACATGAACCAAAATAGACCTTTTAAAATTACATAAACTAAAATGAAAAAAGCTAAACGTCTCTGACAAAAAAAAAAATCTTACTACAATTAAAAAAAAAAATCTCTCACTTATAAAACTGTCATCTCAAACTCCATTCATATCTTTTCAACTAGAAGCATTTTCCCACATCTCTATCCAATATATTCATATGCAATAATTTCAATACAATTATAGGAAAAATATTGAAACTCATCACCACTCCTAGCAGTTATTATGAAAATATATTTATGCATAACATAGAGCTGCATGGAACATAAAAATACAATGCAAGATATAAATATACACAGTAGATGGAGAATTTGTTAGTTCCCCACTTTTAGAGGCCATTTCCCCTCTGGAATCTCAAAATCAAACCAAACACTTCCATAAACAACTGCTTAATCATGAAATTGAATACAGCTTAATCTAAATAAAAGAAAGAAAACAAAAACTTTTCAACTTCGGGAATCGCGTCACGAGGAAACCATCTGTGTAAAGTTAAGGGAATAAAAGAGAAATACCATAAAATGGACCCCCAAAGCTATGAGAGCTTGGCCAACTATATAAACCCCCCAGTCCCCCAACAAACAAAAATCAATAAACTCTCAGTTCCAACAACATTCAAATTCCCTTCTACCTATTCAATTCACTAATTACCCAACAGAACCCCTTCATTTTTGTTTTTTCATTCCATCCATCTTTTTTTCTTCATCAAGGTAAAGCTTCCTACTTCAGTAGCTAAATTCTGCTTTTTCCCCCTTTTTTGGTCTTCTGTTATTAGAAAAAAGCAACCTTGTAGGATTCAAGCTTTAGGAAAGAGAAAATGTTGGCTATCAACTACGTCTTTTTACATTCTAAAAAAAAGGGTAGTCAAATTTCAAAGTCTAGTTTTCTTCCCCCGTCTCTTTTTTTGCACTTCAATTGCATTGATAAAGCCTTGAACCTTGCTGAAGATTATGACAGAATTTGACCCTATATGCATTTTTCTATGTGTTTATCAATTATACCTCTTACTGATAGGTTGTGTGTTGTGTGATTTTGATATATACAGAGAGGGAAATGAGCTGGTCATCAGGAGATTGGATATGCAACGTTTGCCAAAACGTAAACTTCAAGAAAAGAGAAGCCTGCCATCGTTGTGGTTACCCCAAGTATGGCGGCCCAGACCCTTCAACTTACAGTTACAACAAGACGGAGGTGTTGGCCGGAGACTGGTACTGCTCCACCGTCAACTGTGGAGCTCACAATTACGCCAGCCGCCCGAACTGCTTTAGATGTGGTGCATTTAAGTCTGTCTATGCCGGTGATTATGGCACCTACATGATGGGTTCCGATCAGTATGCCTCAGATGCAAGTGTCCCACCTGGATGGAAATCTGGAGACTGGATTTGCCCTAGGTACACATAACAATAAACTTTACAGTAAAAGTTGATCGTAAATTACAAAAGCCATTGAAATGAGTATATCTTTTCAAGTTATTATTGCATGTTTTGAAAGAGACACAAATGCAGATAGATAGAGTCTGCATCAATTCACCCCTGCCTTATTTTCCTTCAAATTCCCAGAAAAAAGGATCATGCTGATATTATATACTAAAAGGATTGGTCAGCTCAACTAATTTTTTTTACGTTCTTTTGGACAGATTGGGATGCGGAGTACACAATTATGCAAGCAGGTTGGAGTGTTTTAAATGCAAAACACCAAGGGATTTTGGTAAGTTTATATCAATTAGACATTTAATTATGTTATCTGCCCCTGGTTAGTGAAGTTAACCAGATGATGTGGTTTTGCTGTGGGTCACTGGGTTTGTAATATAATTTAGGGTGTTCTATCTTTCAGGTGGTGCAGTTTAAAGCGGGATGGAATTTTGGAAGGCTCTCTCTTATGCGGTTATATCGTCTTCTTGGCATCTGATCCCTATCCAAATGCTGCCTTTTCCTTTTTCTTTATCTCTTTTTTTTCTTATGACATAAACGATAATAATGTTAACCCCTTAGAATGATCCCCAATATAGATATCATGGGTGAAGGCCCATTTCCCCACTCTGGCATTGCAATATAGCTAGCTACTCTCTCTCTTTTTCTCTCTAATGGGTGCGCAAATGGGGAACAAACATATCTGAATACTGTGTTTGAAGGTGGTCCTGTATGGAATGTCAATGGTTGCTTTATAAACACAGAATCAAATTGAAATGAGAACTGCTAAGGCTCGAACTTACGTCAGCAAAGAGAGCTTTTATTGAACCAGAAGGAGAGGAGTAACAAGCGGAAAAAATAATGAAAGAAGATAGGGAGTATTGGTTAAAGATTCAGAATCTATGTGAATAGCAAGTTCCTAAGAAGATAGACCCAACTTTCAGCTCAATAATTTATGGCCCTTTAAGCATCAAATCTCTAAGAAATAAATTCTTATATATAAAAATAGATAAGAACCAGATGCCCCACTTCAACGACATTAATGGAAACACCCCTTCTAATAATATTATTAGGTTCAAAGTGCGAGTCAAACCCAACTTTGATTTATGACCGTAAAATAGTTTTTCTATTCCCTAGTAAAAAGTCCATCCCTAAAGAATCTTTGCAAGTTAATTATAGAGTTTATTCGATTTCACTTTCTAATTAGGCTAATTTGCTTTGGAGATTCCAATAATAAACTCAGCAAGGCAAATTCCTCAGCGGAACTAGTTCCCCAAAACTTCACAAGAATACATCCAAAATACACATAGCTACCAATACCATATATATACATTTTTAAAAAGAAACTATAGCAAAAGTGCAAAACATCAAGAAATCGAAAATCCTACAAAAAAACGCGCTGGTATGTGTGTGCGGATTTTTAATGGCGGTAATTTTAAAATTGATTTTGGAATCGTCTCTTACATCACTTTCCCGCTTGTGATTTCCGTCGAAACGTCGACCTCAGTGGAAGCGAAGTCACCGACATCGCCTCGGAAACAACTTGATCATCTGTACAATACAAGAACACTGTGAGATTCAGAGTCGTCTTTCCAACAAATAAAAATAATGGAGACTCAGAGTCAAAGCAGATACAGAAGAAGAGAAATGGCCCGGAAGATTACCAAATGAAAATGAAATCTCGACCGAATAGCAAGGTTTGTAGGTCCAGAGTTCAATCCGGTCCACAAATGTATCGATTATCAGAGAAACGTGAGCTTTCCAGGTCTGCTCATGGCTATACACAGGCAAGGGCATACTGGAACCGGTAGCGATTTCTTCCCCTGGTCAAGCACAGAGTCCATTAGACGCCGCGTATAAACGTGCAGAGTTCGAAGTGTCATTCGAATCAAAAGAATGAGGAAGTGATGAGGCTATGGATTGAAGAGAAAAGTAGGAGGAATCCATTTTTAGGAGTTCCTGAATTTAGAATGCAGCAGAATAATCAGGATTTGTAAGGCTGAACTTGTTAGGATCAACAAACTAAGCAGAAGTTGGTTGAGATTTTCTGGTGCCCTAAATCCGTAAAAAGAAGAAGAAGAAGAAGAAGAGTGGGCGGAGAAGGAGAAAAATCAGTTACCGCCTCCGTGAACCGCCAACTGTTCCTGTTCGTAGACTTCGCGAGTCCCTCCCGCTCCGTAGAAGAAGAAGACGAGACGGCGGAGCAGTCCCTCTCAAAAATGTAACGATAGTTGAAAATGTCCATGCATATGCATTTGCATTCTAATTTTGCTAGCGAGATCAATTAAGAAATAAATTTGAATTCTCAACATATACTAAAATAAATATATATATATATATAATTTTTGTTGGTGATTAGTACAAATATAAATAGTAGATGAAAATAACTATCGCTTTTTTATTATTATTAATATAGAATTATGATATGGATTTGTGAGTTTTCTAAACCTTCTATTTATATAAAAATTATTAATGTTAATCGTTGTATTATAGGGGTGGAAATTTGAATTTATGACTTTTTGATCGAAATATATGTCTCAATCAAATTAGGTATATCAAGGTCGATTATTATAAAAGAATTTTAAAAAAAAAGACATAAAATAAGTGTTTGAAATAGTTCATGGGTTCAATCTCATTATCTTTATTCTATAATGTCTTTAACTTAGTTAGCATTACTCTAGCCAAATACGTTCGGTGGCATTGTCCATGAATAAACGAGATATTTCATGAGCGACACTTTTATAACTAACGAGAGAGTTACTAATGGAGGAAGGAGGAGACATGGAAACACCTCTTCTGGGATTGCAACGCTACCAAAGACATTTGGAACCATTTTCTTGATTTTAATGTTAATCTCTTTTCTATGAACATGTTATTATTGACTTTTCAGGATTATTGGGATGGGATTTTAGAGCTTGGTGGAAGTCAAACTATTACGAAGGTCATAACTATAGTGTGGTAGATTTGGGGATTTCGAAACTCTGTGTTGTTCTCCGACTAAGTTACATTGGTTCTAGAGAAAAAAAACTGAGAAAGTTACTAATTACTATAATAATCTAGCTTTTAAGTTCAATAATTTAGAAATAAAATAAAAATCATGGGAGTTAATATCCACTGAAATAAAATGCTCCAATCAATAAAGTTGAGATGCATCATAACACTACGTTTCCATTATCTAAATACATGGCGCTAGCAAGGGTGACTATTTTATATTTTTATATATCATCTACTTAACATGTTTTCCATTATTTCTATATGAAATTTTCATGCCAAGGAATATAATAATTAATACGACGATGGTCGTTAAAAAAAAATGGTCCATGGCTGCAAAATTCCGTTTATTATCCAGAAAAAAAAAAAAAAGATGCTTTTTAAATTTTGATCGCCTTGAGCTTCTCATGGCAAACGGCGCAAGAACAATCGCCACTGTATCAAAATCGACTTCTCGTCTGCTTCTTCGTCTTCCTCCTTCAACGCCCATCATCAACCTCCATGAACCAACGCCCTCATTTTCTACCAGAAATAGAGCGACACTTTTGTCAATCGTATCCTCCACGTCTCCTTTTCGCGCGCCGTTTAGCCCCTCCTTCAATGGGGCAACCTTCTGTTCTTTCAGCTCAGCCCCTTCCATGTCCATTAATTTGCAGTCCCATGCCTTCGCGCGAAACCCCATAAGGTCCAAAACCCCCAAACCCGAAGATCCCTTTTCGCCCAATTCATCGTTCGAATCCCTGAAAACGAGGCTTCTGGAGAAAACCCCTTTGCTCTCTTCCCCAGATTTCAGAATTTTGCCCTTCAGAAAGGGCTGGCCTCTGGTTTCTTGCAATGGCGGGAAGGGGAATGATGATTCGGCGTCTAATTGGAGTCTGGGTTGGATCAGTCTGGCGGATTGCAAGAGTCTATTGGCCATTTCTGGCTCGCAATTAACAGCAGATTTGTTGGTTTATCTCGGTTCCTCTGTTGAAGAAGATGCTGTTTATTGGGCGATTGACTTGTCTGGCGAGGATAATTTGGCTGCGGAATTGGGTCAAAAGCAGCTCAGTTTTGTCGAGCTGCGAACTCTTATGGTGGCCACGAACTGGTTGGATACATGGGCTATGGGGCAGTTGGCTATTGCTGGCCATGTAAGTGCTCAAAATTGGACTGAAGAATTACTTTGGTTTTTCAATTGAACATACGAGCATCGTTTCTCTTCGATATTGGGCATTATCTAACTGATATCTTGTTGGTTGAGATGCCAACTGAGGATTTCTCAGCTACATAGCTATATTTTGTAACGAGTGTTACTTTCTCTTTGTCAAATCTTTGACATTCACTCCCACAGCACCCATTGAGATTATTTTAGACAACGCAGTATTAGAAGTGAGGAATATTTTGTAAAGATAACATCTTCATTAGTTTGAGTGGAATCTAAAAAGTAAAACTATGCTGATTCAAGTTTGAAGTGGATAATATCATACTATTGTGTAAATTTGGAGAGGTCCATTACCTAACAATACTTTCATATTGCTTATCAAGTACTTATTCTGGTTGATAGTCTGCCCAGTTCCTTCCTCCCTTCTTTCAAAATTACTTTTATCTTGGGCATTCATAATTAGTTAAGTGTGCTTGAATCTGTGCATACCTACCTGGTTTTTGGGATTGATCACTCAGGGCAGGGCTTTGCTAGATTGGCATAGAACATCACGTTTCTGTGGACATTGTGGAGAAAGGACAGTCCCAGTGGAAGCTGGCCTGCAAAAGGAATGCTCCAATCACTCGTGTAAATTGAGGATTTTCCCTCGTGTCGATCCCGTGAGATCACGATCTTCTGCTTTAATCATTGTTGAATTCCAGCATAGTAGGCTATGCATTAATGCCTTTGGGTTGTTGGGATATTCATTGCAGGTTGTTATCATGTTAGTCATTGACACGGAGAATGACCGCGCTCTCTTAAGCAGGCAATCGAGATATGTGCCCCGAAAATGGAGTTGCTTAGCTGGGTTTATGGAGGTACCTTTCTTTGTCAAGAACAAGAATGATAGAAGCTGTCTGATATAATGTGCATTCTATAGTTCTAACTTTGATCTTGTTTCATGAACTAGAGGAGTTCATTGATTTTCTTTACTCGTTTTTCATCAGCCTGGAGAAAGCTTGGAAGAAGCTGTGATAAGAGAAACAATGGAAGAGACTGGCATTGAACTTGAAGAGGTGGTCTATTACAGCTCTCAGCCATGGCCAGGTCTGATCACTCAAAAATTACAGTTTCTTAACCACATCTCTCTCCACTCTGTAATAAATGTCACATTAAACAGTATGTTGATGCTTTTGAAACAAAAACATAATCAGACAACTCTTTTTTCCATGTTTCACGTGGAGAACTATTACTATATGTATAACCTTCCTTAAGATTGTAGGTTTCAATCTCCACCATTTTGTTTGAATTGTAATTCTCAAAATATATATGCTGTTACTGATTTGCATACTCATGTGGCTTGTTCTCAGTTGGACGAAGCACTATGCCGTGTCAATTGATGGTTGGGTTCTTTGCATATGCAAAATCACTTGATATCAATGTGGACAAGAGAGAGTTGGAAGGTATGTTTACTGATTTTTTCATGAGTCATGCATGTATAATTGTCTTACAATTACTATTGTTGGTGCTGTAAAGCTTCAAGTTTTCTAGACAATTCATCTATGCAATTCTCGTTAAATCGAGTGAATTTGAATTGGTTGAAATTCATTGCATAGACGCACAATGGCACAGTAGAGAAGACGTGAAAAGAGCTTTGACGTTAACTCAATACGAGAAGGCACAACAAACTGCAGCAGCCAAAGTGGAAGAAATGTGCAAGGGAGTTGAAAGAGGACACACCCAGTCTACAGATTCCAACTCTGAAGATGGTGGACTTGCTCCCATGTTCCTTCCTGGCCCTTATGCAATTGCTCACAAACTTATCTCCTCTTGGGTATATCAAGAAAAAGGAAAATGATGCTAAAGATCATTTGAATCAACATAGTGATCAACATTCCAAGCTGAACTCGTTGCAGCACTATGGCTTTCGAGGCTCGTTTGAGTTTGCATAGCTTGAGCCTTGACATCGAAAGCATACACCCAACTGTTCCTTGCAAAAATAAATGGTTATTCTTTTGAGGCAGAATCCTTATAGCTCCTGTTCACTCATTGTCTGAAAGTACACAGTAGGTGGAAATAGTCTTCATAGACCATTTTCTAGATGACAGCACATGTATGTTCCAAGTTCATCTACATTGTTCTGAACACCACCTGTGTCTGTAACTGATGAATAGATGTTCTCATCATTTATTTTACCATTCATGGATTTCCCGATAGGATTGCTGACAGTGTCTGGATGGCTCTAATATGGGCAATTTACCTCTTTTATGATTTTGCAGGCAAAAGAAAATAATGTTACTAGTTGAGGTAGAGATATAAGAATTTTAAGTGACATATTTTGATATTTTGATGCTTTGGTCTTTCTCGGATCCTGTTCATATTTTAAGATTATATTTCATCTACCAAAGGAAAAAGGAGTAGACCATCTAATCTGAGCCATATCCTAATACACAACAGTTGATTGCTCCAATTTCTTATCTCTGAAATTTTGAATACATAAATTATGAAGCTTATGCACCAAGAGAGGTAAAGCCTAAGTTCTCTCATGTAAATTGTCTGTAGATCTAGACCATTTAATGGCTGCCCTGGCTAATGCATCCATGGGATCAATACATTTTTTCAGAAGAGGGTCATCAGGAGGAAGAAGATTAAGAAATTCGTCAGAAACAAGTATTACCATGTTCGCAGCCCTTACCAGGAGAACATGGACAGCAATTCTCAACAGATTTCTTGCTCCTTCCAGATCCCTTTTGTTCAAAGCTTCAACTGCAGGAACTACTATATGGTCCATGGTTGCTTCATCCGGCAAGACAACATCAAAGCCCTGATACATTCAACATGACAGAAGAAAAAAAATGAAATTAGAAGAAAATTCTAGAATCTACTAAGTAGTGTAGAAAAATTCCCTTCAATCATGTCAACTGCATCCATTAGCTACGAATGTATTTGCAAAACCTGATTCTGTAGCCTCTCATTGTAAAAATTAGCTGCTGTTGATGTATCAGTGGCAAGCAACCCAATCCGGACATTGCTCCCTGCCTCAAGTGGCTTAAGATTAGCCTCTTTCAGCTCCCTAGCAACACAATCTCCCACATGAATGAAAGGTAATCTGCAGCTCTCAGATTTGTCATTAAGCCACCTATGTGAAATGTGGCAAGGCGTGATTAGGCACTGAGCTCCGGACTGCTCAAGAAACACCCTTTTCCGCTTGAAATTCTCGATTATCGGAGCATCATTATGGCCATGTTGAGAAGAATTTGTGCTGAATGTACTCAATGAAGTAAGAGGGGGAAGCCCTTTGTCTAATGTAGAATCACTGCAGACTACAAAAGGTATGCTCTCTTGTCCATCCTTAAAACTCCACCAGACGAGCTTTTCCAAGAAAAGTAGAGTAGAAAAGACCGAGACTCCTCCTATGACACCCACAGTATTTGGCGGGCCAAGGAGGGGTCTGGGGGTTCGACTTCTTGACAGCGATTTTCCTGTACTTGATATCTTCTTGGATGCTGGTAAGTTGTCGTTCTCATCAGTTTGAAGAACAGAGGAAATCCGTACAGCTGAATACAGGTCTAATCTCCTCCTAAAGCTAGTAGTGGTCTTGTTGGCATTTCCTCGAATAGGTGCTGGGGAATTCAGTGTATATAAGGGCATGGCCATCCCTCCATCAAGCATCCTTTTTGCACAGAGCAAGAATTTCAGTGGAGTTCAACTTCGAATCTCACGAAGTACCCATACAACAAATTCAGTGGAGCAAAAAAAAAGGGCTTATCAATCAACTCTGGAAAACTGGGTTTCTCCTGGATTGTAGCAACATGCAGAAACACAAATTAAAAAAAAAAAAAAAAAAACAGCATATGTTGTTCATGGGTCAATACCCAAATACCTCTCAGGAACAAAATATCAAGAAAAACGCGACGACATTCACGAGAAAAGCCATAACTAAGAAAGTTCTCAAGAAAAAGAAGAAGAATCGCCTGTGGGTTTCTTCACATTCAAGGCGTTGCAGCAACAAGAGCGAAAAGCTACGATTATTGTACAGTATAGTTTGTTGCGTTTTTTGGAAGGACAAGAATTAAAGCAAATTACTGTATAGCAAAACTAGGTAAGACATGAGAAGAAGCTGGACGATTGAATTGTCAAACGAAGAGTTATGGAAGAATCTTACATTATTGAAATCTGTCATGTTTCAGCCCTTTTATCAGTGAAAGCGCTGTCAACCGTTGGTAGGAAGAAGGAAGAATGACAAAAATGGAGGCCATGGCCAGTGGGGCAGCTCGCTTGATGGAATCACTCTGCTTCCAAATACCTCCAATCTCCTCCCCCCACGATATTCATTCATACGGAAAATAATTTCTTTTTTAAATCTACCTTAAATTACATAATTTTCTTTCCTCGTGAAATTGTAAAGTTTTGTTTCTAACGTGGCGAAATTTTGTAGGCTAAATTTTATTTTACCGGATCATCTTATTTATTAAATACTATATATATAGACCAACAAAAGTACGTCACGTCATGTATGAAGTATTTCTAAAAGTTTTTAATTAATCTTTAAAGTAAACATGAGTTTAGTTCAACGATGCAACATATATGCCCATCCGATAGAGTTAACAACACATATCTATTAGATACAAAATTTAAAATTTTTAAAGTATAAATAGTAAATTTTTAAGTATGTGTAAGCTGGTCCAGACATTCAAGGATTGCTCCATGGGAAGAGATTCGAACTCACAACTATAAGGTTGGAAATATATGTCAATGAGCTATGCTTGTTTTGACGATTTGATTCAACTTTTAATATACATTCTTTTGTATTTCCAAGAACGAAGGCCTAGAAGTAGTGATTAAGTATATTGGATCTTTGTTTATTTCTTTATTTTTCAGATAAATATATATTTTTAGAGGATAGATATTAAAGTAAAAATGTTAGATAATTATTATATAAATTAAATCACGTATATTATTACAAATAACAAACTTTGTTTTCATAGACAAATTTACAAATAATAAACTAGACCCTCATAAGCGGACCTGTGTTTTGCATTTTCGTAATTTGTGAAATTAACAAAATACATTAGGAATTTTTATTCCAAAACAGTTTGCTGTCAATATAGCGTGGAATAATGAATACAAAGTTTATTATTGGAAAGTCAAGTTACAAATTTACTCCTTAAAGTTTGAGATTGAATTTTAAAAGTGTGTAATATATTTATAAATTTTCAATATCTCATAGTTTTTAAATTTTGTAACTTTATTGATAAATTCTTTAAACTATGAAATATTTTTAAACACAAAATTAACTAAGATTCATATATTTCATCTCAAAATCAATCGGTAATTAAAGGTAGACTATGTTTATTATAAAATTCTGGTTAGATGTCTTATTTTTTCAATATGGATTCTTAATATGCCTCTCAAGATTATAACTCTTTTCGCTCATTGAATTTGTCCAAAAAAATTGTCACTAAAATATTCAAATAAAAATAAACATTTTTTAATTAATAATTAAAACAATTATTGGAATTTCCTAATATTTTGAGCCGATGGGATCTTATTTTCACTGGAGGCACGTTTGAGCATTTTAGACTCTAATTTCATATTAATATTTATAAGATTGTATCTGGTTGAGTGGTGATTTATTCATCTTATGTTCGAACTCCTGCCTAGTTGTTTCCTCTCAATTTATAACGATTTCTAAGACTTGTGCAATTATCAAAATTAAATTTACCCAACTTATCAATTTAAAGTGTGGTTTTTTCATCATTTAACATCGAACAATGTAATGACTCCACTAATAGACATACGAATTGATTGACAGATATTGGTGTACTTTTTAAAGAATTTTTTTTTAAAGAAAATTTATGCTATATTTACACTTTATTATTATTATTATTATTTATTTTTGTAGTATAATTGTTATTATTTTCGCGTCCGTAATCTAATCATGTGGAATTGGAGGTACAAAATGCAAATTTGGAAATTATAGGACGGGAAAGTGAAATTGAAAATATTCTGTTTGGGCTCGCTACACAATTTAATTTAAAATGATCTCCGCCATGTAAAATCAAAATTCGAAAATTTTGATGGAATTGGAAGCCCCTTTTATGACGATGATTTTGTTGCTGCTTGTTCACTTCTTTTCACACGCTCTCTCGTCTTCCAATTTCTTCTGAGGAGAACAGCAATGGGGGAAGAATTGCGGAAACGCAACACTGATTGCGTCTATTTCTTGGCTTCACCTCTTACCTGCAAGAAGGTCAGCATTTCTTGCTCAAATAATCAAACCCTTCTTTTAGTTCATCGATTTTTTCATTCTCTTAATGTTAGAATGCCTTCTCGATACGTTTTTCCACTGTTCTTTTGCGTCTGGAGCGGAGAATTTGGTTTACGGTTGTGTTAATTTACCCCGACGCTCAGGATCTTGCTCTGCGTTTCAGGATTTCTGACTGCATTCTGCCGAAATGTATCGGCAAGATTTTCTATTCGAGTTTCTCTAATTTTACTTATTAATGTTGGAGAGAAGTGGGTTTGGTTTCTGTGTTTGAATTTACGGGGCGTCAGACAGTCCCGACGGTCTTTTTCAATCACTTTCTACCCATGGATCATTGGGTTTCTCTATTTTAATGTGGAGTCTGGTTTTCGTGTTTATGTTTAGATTCTGCATGTGTAATTGATTTTAGCCAACTTCTACTCCGTTTCGTGTTTCATCTGGGCGAGTGACAACTACTCTTTCTCAGGGGTTCGATTGTGAGTATCGGCACAGCGAGATTGCTAGGTTGAATCCCAGAGATTGTTTCTATTGGCTGGCGGGAAACTGCTTAAATGCAGCCTGTGGTTTTCGGCACCCGGTAAGAAGCTGATAATCTGTTTGTTAAATTTCCCATGAACTTGGTTGCAGTCAGTGGCTGCTTCATCTGCCTTATTTATAAATGTTTAGCTATGATGCCTGTTTCGTCAGAACAGTGAACACACTTTCTTTATATTCTATACTAGTAAATTTCTATTCGAGGAGTTACACGTTTTTCTGATGGTGGTACTTGGGTATCCCCAAGTATATGGATTGAATTAAGTGCCATTTTGTTGAAAACTTTTTCCTGGTTCTCAAGTTTGAATACGACGTGTTATGCTTTTGCTTAAAGGCTTAATCCCCATAACTTAGGTATGTACATAATCACAAATTTTGCTTACTTTGTCATGCAATTAACGATGATGGTTTCCATTTTTTCATAAAGGCATTGCCTATCTTTACAGATGGACCCAGGAGCTTTTAGGTTTTAACAGCTCTTTTTCTGTGTTGGAGAGATTGTTGAACTTTGTTCTTTCCATAAACATGAAAAGAGGCTGTAGTCATATTCACAAGTGTACGGAAGATGGGCGTACTAGTGATTTGTGAGTGTCAATAGTTATGATGATGTAAATAACTAAATATCAATTAGTTAAATCGATCAAGATATTTGTTGGAACTTGGAAGTCAGGCAGGAGTAAACAGATTTCTTCAGGCACGCACTTTACAAAGAATATCATGCAATCCAATAGATTGTTGTCCATTACAGAGTGTAGTACCTATCCTGCGATATTTGTTAACCTACTTACTACCTATTTATTAAGGATGCTTTGTTTATAACTTCTTGCCTAATTCATAATGATTTTATTCTGGTTGACGTATCATGTATGACTCGACCTGTTATTTATTGTTAATAGTTTAGATATTAACTTTTTCCCTTTGTTGAACAAACAATTGCTGATTTCTTTTTGCTTTGTGATTATTAATTTAAGTTGATGACGGTCTTCTTGGAACTATACCATGTTCTCATTATGTAATAATATTATTTTAAAAAGTTGTGTTTTCTTTTTTCTCCTTAGCCAATGGATGGTCCTGCTGGAAAAGTGTTTGAATCTTCTCAATGTTCTGTACCTGTGAACAAGGCAAATATTCCCTGTTATTTTTATTTCAATGGCTTCTGCAGTAAAGGTGATATGTGCTCCTTTTTGCATGGCAATGATATAAGTACTGTTACTCCAAGTTCTACAAAGACAGGATTTCCTAGCGGCCATACAGAAGATAAACCAGCTTCAGCCAACAAAAAGGGTTTAGGCTCTACAGATGCTATTGTTCATCCGTCGAATACATTTTCCTCGGAAGATAAACCAGCTTCAGCAAACAAAAAGGGATTAGCCTCTACAGATGCTATTATTCCTCCATCCAAAAATGTATCTGACCCAACAATTGATGTGACGTTTCAACAACCATCTGCTGAAAATGTCTCACATCAAAGTGCCCATTTACCGATCTCGGTATCGGAGTGTGAACAACTGGCTGTTGATGAGCCTGTCTCACTAACTGCAGCTGAAGGATCTAATGATAGTAGTAGATCTCATGTACATGCAGATGCAGGTCAGAGTAATGAGGAGACAACGATGGATTGTACCGAGGAAGAAAACTTCTGGGAATCATCCCCTGGCTTCAATGTTGCCGTAGGACATGGGTTGGAGAATTTGGATAGCGATGATGATCCAGAGTACCACCTCTCAACTAATCTGGAGAAAGGAGAAATGGATACCGACTTATGCAGGAATGACTTTGATGACCTTATCGCATATGAGCCTATGCACTCTGATGTAGAACTTCTGTATGAAGGTGAGATGCGTAAATACGATCATTTTGAGAGGGAATCTGCCCTTTTCAACAAGAGAAACATTATCAGCAGCTCAAGAAGGAAACTTTTAGAGTCAATGTTTTCTCAAAAGAGAAAACTCACACTCGTGAATCTAGATGCAGAGGAATGGAATTGTGTTGATCTTCGAAGTTATCTGCAGAGAGACTGTGTTTCTGGTAATCGTTCAATTATTGGTATATCAAGGAGAAGAAATGGGTCTTCCTTTCGAACAAGTAGAGACTTTGCAAAACCTCGAAAGCATGGTTTATATCATCCACCACCACTTGGAAGAAGACTGGCATTACAGGTCGGGAAGATATCTAGACGATCACTTCCAGAAAGTGTAACTTTTTCAAATAGTATTAGTCCATATGGATCTTTTAGGCACTCAAGACAATTCAAGCCCTGGAGGCATTGCGACGGATATGGAATTGGATTGGCCAGACAACAACATCCATTGCCCGACATGTCAAGAAAACCTGTTTCAAGAGAGCGCAGATACAATCTGAAGTCCGCTCCATTCAAAGGACCAAAGACCCTTTCTGAGATCAAAGAAGAGAAGAGAAGAGTAGTAGAAGAAAATGGAGACTTTTCGATCAAAAAGCGTCATTCAATCGGATCTGCATATGCATATGCATCTACATCATCCTCAGCCGACTTTAGAGGACCAAAACCTCTGAGTGATATCCTGAAGGACAAAAGGAAGGTGGAGGTTGTGAAGGAAATCGATACTTAGCTGAATAAATTAGTGTAATG